AAGCCTTGGGTGAGATGGTTTAGTGTGAGGTGTCCCTGCCCATGGCAGGGGGGTTGGAACTAGATGATCTTAAGGTCCTTTCCAACCCTAACCATTCTATGATTCTATGACATTAAAAACATCAGCATTAAATGCAGGCAACAGGAAAAGCTCTCACATCTTATACACTAAGGCTTTGAAAAATGTGGAAGAAAGATAATGCAGGTTTGTGTATTAGTTTCAACATGTACATGAGATTTGAGCTGGTGAGAGATTGTCATGAATTACATTTCCTAATATCATCCTGACATTCTTTCCGTAATTTTAGAGATTGTCCCAGTGGCATATCAAGATTTTGGGACATTTTGCAATATCCAAGTAAACCTTCTGTATTCACCCTTTTACCTATATAACTGGGTCTATTATCATACCTTTGAATACTGTAAAATCTCACAACATCCAAAAAGTTCATAGTAGTAAAATTACGTAGAAAAATCAATAGAAGTGAAACAATCCATTATGATGATTTGTCCTGCCTCCTTTTTTATCGTTATTAATCTCTCAGTCACAGAGTTGTCATTAGAAGTGCTTATAGCTTAGAAATACCAACTACACCTTCAATGACAACCCAACCAGTCATTTCTGACCAAGCTTGAGCAGGATAAGGCAACCCAGCACTGGCCTTACTCTGTGAAGTGGGGTCCTCAGGCTGGCACGTCTCATGAGCTATTTGAATTTCACATTATTGCATTACAAGTTACTTGTCTTTATTTACATGTCACTATTTTAGTGGGATTGGACAATACACAAATATAATCCATTACACACATGAGTCCTGGGCTCATCTTCTTGTATTTTTCAGGGGGAGGCATGGTTCTTAAGATGGTGTCTTTCAACTGAAAAATCCTTTGCTAAGTTACTATTAACAAAACTTTCATGCAGTCTCTGGGGTTTCTTGAGAGGTACTTGGAGAAATGTCTGAAGTGGAAGAATTCAGTGTTTGAAATTTAATTTGAAATTGTAGTACTCAAAAGTGGACATTGCAAAAGCTGCTGAGAAGATCTGAAATCTCAGACTGGAGTTAGCAAGAGAGGACACTATCATCTGCAAGGATGGAAATATGGGAGAGATTCTTAAAGAGTGAATAAAATCAGCATAATAGCTGAAGACATGCTTAACATTTTGGACGATCACACACAAAGGTCTTAGCTTGGAAAAAGTCAGAGAAGTAAACATACTCTAGAAACTTGTCTTCTAATAAGTCATTACAGGGAAGTTTGGAATTATACTGCTCATTACTCACTCTCGTATCACAGACTTTCCTGGTGCTTCACAGCAAGATACAGGATGAAACTTGAGTCCCTGTTAAATTAATGGAAATATTCCAATTTACTTCTTCCTGATTTTCTAGTTTTGCTACTAAAATGTAAAGAGGAAAATACTGATAGAAGTTTGCTTAGGCCTTCCTAAAATACATAAATAACATAGAGATTTTAACTAAATTCAAGTGGAATGTGGAAGGAAGTTCAGAAGAATATTTTGCTCTCTTGCTTAAAAGAAGGCGAATAGGACCCTGAGACATGTTGGATTAAAACGTGGCAGGGAGAGAGTCATAAAGTACTTAACTTTTCATTTTCCTGGGTATGTTTAGATAAGAAAACCATGCAAGTTTAATATATTCAGAAGTTGCTTTCAACTGTTGCAAGCTTTTCTTTGGACTCTGATTTCATTCCAAGAAGAGTTTATTTTGATTTATCTTACACCTGTTCCTGAATCTAAACTATGCTGAAATAATCTGCCTGCCTGCCTTCCCTGCTTCCAAGGGAAACACAGCCAAGGAGGGCTGCCTTAGATAATAGACACACTTTCCTTCCTTATTGCCAGCCTGAGGATTTGGTGGGGGTGTTTGGGAAGGGGAGTGTGGTATTGTGAAGTGGTGAAAAAAAGGAGAGAGCAAGGTGTGAAAAAAATATCAGCACCCTGGGAAGGCTCTTTTCCCTCCAGCTTTCTTAAACATGTGCCAGTGCATTTTCTGCTCCCTCATTCCCTCAGACGCTCCTCCCTTTGCCTCTCCCCATCCTTGCTCTCCGTCTATAAGGGTATACACAAGTACGTAACTCCCTCAGACCAATGCTTTAAAAAAGCAAAAAGAGAGCTATGCTGCTGTTGGCTTTTTTGTCTCTCATGGTCAGAGGGGACCAGAGACCCTCTGTGAGGCAGAGGGCTCCAGAAGCACAGGGCAGATGCTGCGTGGTGCTGGCAAAACTGAATTAATTTGAATTTTCTGTGGTGAGGTACCTCCAGGAAATTCCACGTTATAAGAAAAGCTGTCAGAGCTCCTGGAATGAGCAGAAACAAGGGCAAATCAGTGGCTTATGTAAAAAAAAAAGTCCTAATGAGAGTTGCTGAGAGTAACCAAAACCGCTTTAATAACGTATAATTCATAATATTTGGGTGACCTTATGCTTTTTAAATTCTAAGAATGATTTGCTGAAGTGCACTCTGCTTTCCTAATGATACCTGGTTTGCTGATAGCCAGTCACTTTGCTGTTGTGCTAGGAGCAGCCTGGGACAAGCCAAGCTAACCAGTGACACTCCTTTTTCAACACAGTTCGTATTGCTCAAGACTTCCCAACATGCTCTATGTGAGTTTCAGATCCCAGTAAACACACCTAAATATAGAAGTTTGCTTGTAGGTGGGTATGCATGTGCTACATGTCGGTACTTCCAGTATAGCCAGTCAAGATCTAGGGCTTAGTTCAGCAGAGGACATAGAGATGTCACCTGTTACATGATATTCCCTGCTCTGCAGCGACTTCCCCTGGAGGGCACAGCCCTCCCAGGTCTGAAAGCATAGCTGCTGGAACTAGGGATGTCTCAGATATCTTAAGGCATCTCAAATGGCACTGGACAAATAACTTTGGGCAGCTGAATTGAGCCTTTTTTGTACCAAGCCCAGAGAGCAAGTCAGCTGAGCAGCCAGCAGGAGCCTTCCTGAGGATTAGCTGCACCTCTCTGAGCTGACGTGATCTCCTTGTGCTGCACAGGGAGTTAAGACACCTACTTCACATGTAGACACCTAAATTTAAATGCCTTCACATAGAGCTGAATCCCACTCCATCTATTTTTCTGATCTCCATTAGAATTTGTGGTGTCTTTAACTTTTCCTGATCAGTTGTTCTATTTCTAAACGCTCACTCAGGCCTCCTGAAGCTCATTGTCATGCTCTTGAGAATTGTACCGTGCAGAAACGCCCCAGGATACTTTATCCATTTCTGTTTCTCGATCTCTGAACTCATTGGATTTACATCTACAAGCAAATCTAGGGTTTTTTTTTTGGTAGCCAATTGTGTAGTATCCACCTATGATTCACCTGTGTAGTAGCTAAAGGCATTTTAAAATGTCAGAGCCTAGGAACAAGCAGAATGTCAGCCTTAGCTAACATACTATGTCCAACAGTGACACTAGCCAACAATAAACAGTCAGGGAAGATTACACAAGTAGGGCAAACACACAGTGATACTTCTTCATGAGTCTCTCAGCCTCCAACAGCCTGATGCCTAGAGATTCCCTGGGCCAGAAGGAGGCTCTTGGTATTAGCCCTATATTAAATCTTCTCCAATGAGATCATCCTGCTGGCTTTGAACTTATGTAATTTTTTAGCATCTTGTGGCAAGGATTTTCACAATTTAACAGGACGGTCCTTAAACCACAGGTTGTCTGTACCCTTAGTATTATAATAAAAGGACAAAGCCATCTATAGGTAAGTTCAGAGAAACTTGGGTTGTTTGCAGGTATTTGGATCTCAACTTACCTTGGTGACTGAGCAGAATGAACCAAAGCTATTTCCTACTGTACTGGAGCAGCAGGCTAGGGAAACAGTCTTCTGCTTTTAGGTACAGCCAGTCTCTCTCACAGCTCACCTGTGGGGGCCTTTTTCACTTACTGGGTCATTCTTGACTTGTAGGAGCTATGCTTGGGACAAATGAGTGAAAGAATCAAAACTCACGTCAACAAGAACTTGCTTTCAGTTCTTCACTGGCAAATGTGCATTTGGAGTATCCTTGCATAGAAATACACAAATACCACAAAATCCTAAGTTTTTAAAAAAGCAGTTATTTCTTACAAAGGCTCTTTAAGCTTTTAAAGAAGGTCAGGAAATTAATTCTGAAGTGATGTAGCAGCACAGAACTTGTTCTGTGCTTTTCCACTCTGCACGCCTGTGTGTCAGCCCCAGTCATCATAAAAGAACATTTGCTTTCTCAAAGCATCCATGTGCCATGACTGTGCTGCTTCTCCTCATCTCCCTTTAAATGCTGTTCTGGCTCTAAGGGCAGTTGGCTGATTAGTTCATGCATAACAAACTGGCTCTCACAGTTTGAATCTGTGACCTGAAGAAATAAATCCTAACACTTGCTGGGCTTCAACAAACTTTCCAGGCTGCCAGATAAAAGAATGCTGCTGAGTACCCAGCACTGCATTTCTTCCTTTCCAGGAAATGGTACATCAGGGGAGCTGTGTCCAGAAACTGTAAAGCCTCAACCACACAGTGTTTGTCCTCATAGAAAATTAATATGTGTGATTTTAAGGCCGGTTCCACTGGACGCTCACCACTGGTCTGTTCTTTTTTTTTTTTTCTTATCTTTATTTTCTTCTTTGCATTTTCATAGCAGATTTGATACAGGAAAAGATAGAAAGGGAGAAAATTCTAGTCCATCTACTTATTTGTACACTTTGCTACATCAGGCTTCAAAGCTCCTTCATGAGCTCCTTCAACACTGCTCCTCTTATCCATATGTTTTCAAAATTAACTACCCTCAGTTTTCCCCCTGGAGTGACCCAAGGTAGTTTTTGACACCAGCCCTGACCTCGTATCCCTACCTCAAACAGGAATCTCAGTGCTTTGGATTCCCACCCATTGCAGAAGTCTCTCTTTTGACCCCCTCATTCAGCTCATGTACTTGTATACGTTATTTATTGGTACTTGGACATTAATTTTTTCTGTAATATATTTCTTTCAGACATCATTGTTCTCATCGCTTCAATAGCAGTTGTTTCTGCAAAAACTCAGGGTAACATTTTTGCAACATCAGCACTGAGAAGTCTTCGTTTCCTACAGATCCTTCGTATGGTGCGCATGGACCGAAGAGGAGGCACTTGGAAATTGTTAGGTTCAGTAGTTTATGCACATAGCAAGGTATGTAATCCTAGATGCTGATTTTGTCTGGTTGATATCTTCACTTAATGCGATTCAACAAGAAGCCAAGGAAACAAACATTTATCAGTTTTGAGAAGAATACCTAAAATTTTCTGAAGTAACTTTAATTGCAATGGGCACTAGCACAGCTACATAAGGCCATGTGAAATAATAACAGATTTAGAATGCTGAAAATGTTGTTCTTGATATGCAGTTGTAATTTGATATATATTGGTGAAGTTGCTGCAGCATCAAACCATGGCAGCAGATTCGGTGTACTTTCAGATAAAATTTGTGTCCTTAGGGAAACACTTGAGGCTTAACTGCTCAAATGCCAGAAAAGCGTATAGATCTTTTCATTACATCTTCCTTGAAATGCCATTCTGTTCAGTCTTTCAAAGGGATGTTGATCTCTGATTTCTTTTATCTAGGAATTAATCACAGCCTGGTACATAGGATTTTTAGTACTCATCTTTTCATCTTTCCTGGTTTATCTGGTGGAAAAAGATGCAAATAACCAATTCTCCACATATGCAGATGCTCTCTGGTGGGGCACAGTAAGTACAGAAAAATAATACTTTTTAACCAGCATGCTAGAGTGCTTTGAATGTCACATACTGTGGATTTTAGCTTAGTGTGCTGTTCAGTGAATTGTTTTCACTGGCAGAAAACTGGTCAGAGAAGCTCCCTCCTCCAGTTAATTCATTTGTACATCCATAGCTCATTTCACCCCTTCCTGCAGAACAGGTCTTTAAGTGTTTATGCTGCAAACCAGACCACTAAACCTTCAAGAGAAAAAAAAAAACATTTTATTTTTTTAACCCAGATCCTTTCAGTGGTATAGTTTGTAACAAGGTGCCACAAAGAGCTGCTTTGATCCTAATCAGAGGGCTGTAAGCTGCAGTACACAAAGACAAATAAGTGTTGGGAGAGAAAGAGGGAAAAAATTATTTCATCAGCTTTGCAGTAAAGAGTATCATCAGCACCCCGGATGTTGTTTCTCCTTCCTTTGTACCTTGAGCACAAAAACCAAGAATAAATATCCCCATTCTGTTTCAGCAGTGTTATTTTTACAGATGTAAAAGCCCTGATTTAGTTGAGCTCATGATTAACTATCAAATCAGTCGTTTTGACTTTGTTGAAAAGTACATGCCTGAAAGACTGCTTTTCTGAAAGAAGGAAGACTACATGAATGCTTACTTGTTTAAATAAACTCGGCTTTGAATTAATAATGAAAAACTAAGTGTGAATTTTTTATTTTTTTTTTTTAATAGCATAATGTGTAGGGGGTTTGGCTTTAAAATGCCCTATAGTGAGCTAGACTCTGTGTGGGAATTACTAATGCAGCTTAAGAAATCCCCCCTAACAAAGCCTATGGCATAGGTATTGCCAGCCAGTATAAAACTGCTTTTCTTTTGCTTCTGACAGAGTAGAACAAACACCATGATCTCTGACATGTCTGGGTAGTGAAGTGATGTCTATAAGATCATTAATGCTGGCACGAACTAGAGCACTCATTAGTTTTCCTGGAACAAGTGCAAGACCTGAACCAGACTTTGCCACCTTTCCTCGTCATAGGGATGCAGAAATGAAGCTTTCTCACTTCAAACCATCTGCTGAAAAGACTTAATCTGGACTCAGTAGTATCTGAAGGCTCAGAGCATGCAATTGGGTAAAAGCCCTTTCCAAAATGCTTGAAATCCTTCAGAAGTATTTTTAATAAGTTTTCTTTACCTATTGAGCAAAGGTTAAGATCATGTCCTATTAGTAGGACTAGTTTGTATATTTGACATTCATTCATTTAAGGGTTAATCATTTGTTACTTTTCTTCCCTAGAGATTATATTTCTGTGCCCAAAACTGGGAGCTTGGAAAAGCCAGACCTAATAGGTCTTACTTGTGCATTTACAAATACACAGAAATATTATTCCCCAAATGTGTTGCTTTAGAGCATCAAGACAGATCTCTGATAAAATATACATTTTCATCCTGTAATCCAAACACATATAAAATTTGTATTGGATGAAGTCATGAGAGAAGGTTTTGCCCCAGTTGCTTCCCTGTGGTTTTTGTTTCACTTTTCTTCAAAAGCTGAGGTCTAGGTTTAGCTTAAAGCTTTCTAACCTGGCTGTATTGACACGGTCGTGAAGCATCTAGTTTAGGATGAGCACCCTGGCTCCAGCAGTCTGCAGGTACCATTGCACCTTTGAGGACAGCGCTGGGGGATGTGGTCCCGCCAGAGATCCTCCTGTGGCAGTGCACAGGTCTGGGAATGCAGACATGCTTTCAGCCATTCAGTTCTCCAGGAAACACCCTCTACCGCTCTACAAAGCCATGTGTGATTTAGCACCGCTTAGGCAGGACTAAGAAGAGGATTGTACCCACCTGCCAGCAGGCAATAGTGGGTACAAAAGTAGAAACATATGCATAAGGAATGGGAAAGTAACAGCAAACTCAGACCTCAACTCAGACGTTTGACTGAGGCTCCTGTTAGACCCAGATCCTTCTCCCTGAGCTGTTCTAGAAGCCAGAACAAGATCTTTACTTTAGAATTTGCTTCTCCACTTCTTGCTGACTGCTAGTTTTTAGGAAAAATGCTGCTAATAATTGTGTAAATCGGTGCTTAAAATATTTTGTACACTATGAAGTGAAGATGTATGAGTCGTAGGTCAGATAAGTACTGCAACTGAGAAAACAGGAATCTTTTCTTGACATCAGGAGAAAACTAATTGTAATAAAAAAAATTAAAACAATCTGTATTGTATAGTGCTATGTCTTTTCTTCTTTCCCCAGTGTGTGACATGAATGCATTTAAATTTTTAATGTGTTTAAGTGCACAAAGTGACTGAAAATCAGCTTCCGGCTTACCTGTTATCTTTGCCATTTTAATAATGGCATTTTTTGTACAATATGTAAAGCAGTATGTGGGAAATACATAACGTGCTTCTTAGTCATGGTTGTTTTTACTGCCAGGTAACCCACATGCAGATTTTGAAAAGGTCAGATTGTGTAGCATTCTAGGGGAAAATAATGCTTAGTCTCATTGATTTATTTGCAAAATTTGTTCCAACTTAAAGCATGGAGTACCTACCAAATCCCAGAATGAATTCTGTGATGGCAGAATAACAAGCAAAGACTGTGTTGAAGTCAGGCACAAATAGTTCCTTACAAATAGTAGCCTTACATTTCAAGCTTTTAGAGGCACTTATGCCCCTCCTTACAGGACCAGACCCAGCATGCATCAATTAAACCATTCATTAATTCAGATTATTTGAGGCCCACGCCCTGCTATGGTCATTTCACTGACTCCATTTCTAAAGCCCATATTTTTATACTGAAATAAAAGGCGGGATAGGGCATCCTGATTTACATATGAGTACTCCACTCTTTTTGCAGTTGTATGTTGTACTGTGCACCCTGCAGTTTAAACATCATGCTACTGGTACTATTTTTAATATTCTTGGGATTGGGGTCCCCACAGTACTGCTTAACACAGCAGCACACAACACTGTGTGTTCTATGAAGAGCTTAATTTAAAAATTTGCTTTCGTAGAGAGGGGTAAAATCATTTCATAACAAAATAACTAAACTATATGGGAACAAAAGGTCAATAAAAAACTTAAGTATTTCAAAACCAAGCCATGCATAGTTTTCTGAGTACTGCTAGAACTACCTAGAACTGTGTGTACTTATAGTGGCATTTAATTTGTACATCAATTAATTTTACCTGCAAATTAAGATTCCTGTCTCTCTTACACGTTTGACAGAGCTTCTCTTACTAAGTCATCATTTTTTAGTAGTATCCAGTAGTTACAGCTGGATACAGAATGGTTCTGGCACTTCACAGTGACCTGTAGGTCAACAAAACATATTACAATCAATAATATTGTCACAATTACTAGCTCAAATGAGTTAATATCAATGACGTTTTTCCCAATTAATATAATGATAGCATGAGCAAACTACTTTTTTTTCTCAGTTAATTGATGTCAGGTAGAGATTCAAAAGGTAAGTACTGCTAGCAGAACATAAAATGACATCAGAAAGAAATATTAGGGTAGAGGAGGGCCTCCTGGGTCCTATCTCATCTAATTGAAGGCATCAAGGTTATATAATTGCATTCTTTATTATATTACTTCACTTATTATTAGCATATTTATTAGCTCCAGCAATGAGTTATAATAGAGGTTTTATTGTTGCTGTGAGTTTTAAGTCCAGACAGGTGACACTGCCCACCTTGGCTTATGGGTCCAGACACCTCTTTCACAGAAGCAGCCAAAATTGAGTTGTTTGCAACTGGTTCAAAAGGCAGGACTCAGCTAGCTCATTTAGCAACATAGGAGTGTGATTCAGTTTCTTGGCATACAGTGCCAGGGAAGATCTCTTTGAGAGTCTCTCTCCTGCCTCTGCCGTGGATGGTCCCTGTTCAGATGACTTACAGCATCTTGGGTAACACTAGATGCTTGTTTTCAGGCAAGCCTAAGTCCTACATTTTCAGTTTGGGTGAGTTACGTGCTGCAGGAACCTCTCTTTCCATTGTGCATGTTGTGGTGACCAGATCATGCTAAACACCATTTTATTTTTCAAGTTGGCTGAAATAAATCCTATACAAATAAACTCTAAAAGGTTTGGTTTGTTGTCCTGACTTAGGCTGTGGTGATCAGACACAGAGCTACTCAACAGGTATTCCCAGAAAGGCATGATTTGCACACCTTGTTATTTCTTTCACTGTATCTTTAACCTCTTTATCACCACTTTGCTTCCCATGACCAACTCCCTTCTCAGGTAAACAACATGTCCCTAATTACCTTCAGGGGTTTGCTGCAGATTTTGTAGGTCTGTTACCTAGTCACCCTTGATCTTGTATGGTACCTCTGTTGCAATCACCTGCATGCTGTGTCCTTGCAAGATTGCAGTCTCCAGAAGATCCCAAATAATTTCCTCCAGTCACCTTCAAAATGTGGTGACTTCTCCCTTAACCATCCAGTGATGTCTGGAAATTTCTCATGTTTCATGGTCTCACATCCAGCCATTCTCCTCCACACCCTGTTCAGTTAATTTAACCTCAGGATTATTCCAGTCAGGGCCTGGCCACTGGTTTAGTCATTCACTTGTAGCACTAGCAAAGATGGATTCCTCAACTTGACCAGAAGTTGTCTGGAAAAATGTTTTCTTAGTTGTGTGATGAGAGGAATATACAATGAAGAACAAACCCATTTGCTCAGTGTTGAATAAGGCAATACAGCATGGTGTTGACACCTATACAGCCATGTTAAAACCATCCTGAGATAAAAGAGCTCAAAGTGAGCAAGAAGCGACTGATACTCTTAATCACAGACTGATAGCATTTAGTCCTCAGGAGCTAAAAGTATGGGGGAAAGGATTTAATGTGGTCTTGTTGTTTTTTTTGGAGAAAATCCAGAACGCAGTCTGTGTGAGTGCTCCCAGTTTTGGATTGCTCCCAGATGTCAGATTCCAAAGGTTCGAGTTTGTCTTTCACCCTTTGGAAGACAGTTCGGTGGCAATATCATTAATATGCAGATGACTCTTAGTGCTGTTTCCTTCTGCTCAGCAGAGGCAGGAGATATCTCTGTACTTTCCAGTCGCTGGCAGAGATAGGGAGCTGGAGAGAAGCCAAGAAAGTGGGCTTGTTCCAGAGCTTCAAATGGCTTCACAGTTATTGGCCTGGAAACAAATTTTGAGGAACTTTTATTCAGGGATTCATTTGCTCAAATGCTTCATTGCTCTTGGGGTCTTAATAGCCTCAAAGCGTTTTGCATGAACTGTTCTGTGATGAGAAGATCTGGGAATACCTTCTTCAAAAAGCAAAGGGAAACCAAATCAAGCCCGTCTGCTAGGTCAAGAGTGTGATTGCATCAGCTCACCTCTGCCAGAAAGGAGGGAGCTGCATTCCCGTCTCCCTTCCTCCTTATTTGCTCCATCTCAGCCACATCCTGCCTCGTGCAGCCTCTGGAGCTTGTTAGATGACTCCATGAGCTAGCACAACTCATGGAAACAGCAGAAAAAAGACACACAGAAATGTGGATAATTCTTTGCACCTCCCTGGGTTGCACTGGCTTCCCAGCAAAATCTGGGAAAAAAAGAGGGGTTGGGGTAGGGAAGTGAAGATGAGCAAGGAAAGAGAGTGAGACCTGATAATCATGCAAGATGCTATGTCTGTGACCAGGCTAGCATTACAAAACTCGAGATTTGATAACCACTTGAAATTTCAGATCACTCTCTTTTAGCCACTATGGCATTTTCAGGGTAGGTTACACCCGCAGCTAGTTCCCAACAATGGGAGCAATTAAAAGCACTGTTTACTATCTACAGAGCCCTAAATAGTTGAAATCTAATTACTTCCAAAAGACTTTCCTTCTTTTGTCCTGTGGTGACCCTGGCATCAAATGGAATTGCATCGGCTGCTTTGCCTAGGAATGAACTTAGAGGAAGCTGGAAGCAAAATAATGTCTCTAGAAGGCATTTTCCTGAAGAATTCATTCCTGCCAGAGTATTTGCTGAGCCTGAGCTTGCCCACATTTGGTACACGATGTAAAATAATTCTCCGTGCACATGTTCTCTGCTATAACAGGCCCCGGAGTCCTTGGCATTAAGCCTACTGTTGTCTATCTTTGTCCTTTAACATCGTGTGCCATTGCCTGAGCACGCGCCCTGCAGCCTTCCATCCTGCCTTTGGAAACCCTTCACTCTGCTCACACCTCCTGCCTGCACCAGGAAGGAAGTGGCTCCAAGCTCCCCGAGAGGGAAGCTCAAAGACATCACTTTCTCCCACATGCAAGTCCAGCCCCCAGGTTCAGGTTGAGGACTGGTATTCTTCCCAGGCCAGGAGTAGCATGGAGGACATTTCCTTGGGTCAGGGAAGATCCTCAGCCACATACAGACATGAAGCCATAGTCTTTTGCCTTGGAGATACGCTCAGTAAACCATAACCATACACCATAATCCCAGTGGCATTTGCATATGCACTGCATTTCTACACGGCCTGCAGTCAATGAGTTGCATGTGGAGAACCTTCCCATGTTTACCAAACTGCCATCATATACACTGGTGCTATACGGCAGGGATGCTGGCCTTTGCAGCACAGCTTTTGAAGCATCTGAATGCTGAGCCTCTGATTACACACCCCACACGAAGGGATTACAGATGCCCTCTTCTTTCACTTTGACCTCTCCCCACACAGGTCCGAGCTAATATTGTCCAACAGCCTGAGGTACCACTACATCTGCTGTGTAGTAGTCTTTGGTCCTTCATGTCAGGAGTGATATAGCTATATCTGAGCTTGTCATAAGAAAGAGGAGAGGACTGGGAACTTCTTGAAGTTCCTTCCAGCTTTTGATTAGTGTCCAGAGGATGGCCACAAAGATGATCAGAGGGCTGGAGCACCTCTCCTATGGAGACAGGCTGAGAGTTGGAGTTGTTCAGCCTGGAGAAGAGAAGGCTCCAGGGAGACCTTAGAGCAGCTTCCAGTGCCTAAAGGGGGCCTACAAGACATCTGGGGAGGAACTTTTTACAAGGGCCTGTAGTGCGAGGACAAGTGGGAATGGCTTTAAACTGAAAGAGGGTAGATTTAGATTAGCTATAAGGAAGATATTTATGAGGCACTGTCACAGGTTGCCCAGAGAAGCTGTGGCTGCCCCATCCCTGCAAGCGTTCAAGGCCAGGTTGGATGGAGCTTTAAGCAACCTGGTCTAGTGGAAGGTGTCCCTGCCCATGGCAGGGGGTTGGAACTAGATGATCTGTAAGGTGCCTTCTAACCCAAACCATTCTGTGATTCTGATTATTTAGGTATTTTTCTCACATTTATTATTTATCTCCATTTTATTCAGTCATAAACAGTATTTTTCCTAGAAAATTGTAATAATTTATGTTTGGGTTTCTTTTAGAAACAACTATATATTTCATGCGTCCTGGACTATTTAGTGGAAATGCTGTTTCATGCAATGTAAATAGTCTGCAACTAGTTTCTCAGCGACTTCTAGTAAACCACAGCATTCATTAATTTCTTTTTAGATCACATTGACAACCATTGGCTATGGAGACAAAACTCCTCTTACTTGGCTTGGAAGGTTGCTTTCTGCAGGATTTGCTCTACTTGGCATTTCTTTCTTTGCACTACCTGCTGTGAGTATGCCTGTAAAATTTGTAAAAAGGTAATAGAAACTTCTAGAGTCATTATGATACAAAAGGCTGAAGGAAGCTCTGTATGAAGAGCAACTGCTTGAGGTTTGGGAAGTTTCTTTGGCATGGACAAAACTGGGAAATAATACTAAATTAGGTCACATACTATTGCGTAAGGTTGAAATTCCTGTCCTTCATTATGAATTGTGGCTTATATATTACTGTTTTTCTTTCAGATTCTTGAAAAAAAATCAACTGAAAAATAAGTGAGATATTTCTAATAGGTTTTCTTGTAGGACCGTGTCCAGGCTACTGACAGAGAGTAGTAGTAGGAGGCACTAGATCAACAAAAGTTTATGTCATTTAATGTAAAAATGCAGCTATCATTTTCTGTGAATGATTGTAAATAAACATGATGGTTTGTTTACGTTGCTTTTACCAACTTTCAAGAGACTTTAATGGAAATGGGAATCATCTAATGAAAAAATATAGTGCAGCTTCAGGAATAACTTTTCATTTTTGTGAGAGAATGTCCTTTCTTAAATTACTATTGAATAAGCATGAAATCAGAAGTGACATCTGTATTTTGCTGTATTGCATCTCTTGCAACATATACAGACAGTCGATATTTTAATACTCAGGTTCATTATCTATAGATCACTATAAAACATGCATGTTATAATAATACATTTGTTTTCAACCATATAGACAAGCTAAGATTAAGAGTCCACATCTGCCAACAGCCTTGAATCATCTAGTGTACTGCATTTTTTCTTACTCTAAGTATAAAGAATATTTCAGTATCTTTGACATATTATAATGCATTATAATTATAGTAAATTGCCTGTTTGTGAATCTGTAACATTTAATGGCAGTTACTGTAATTAATTCCTTTTGTCACCTAATTACCACCAAGACAGTTAGTCTTAGCAGAAATACAATGAACATGTAAACTATTAATAACCTTGCATATTAGAGATGCCAGAACTTTTGTTCCTCATGTCATATCTATGCACAGATACTAATTTTTGTCATAAACACTTTTGTGTTGAATCTGTCTGTAAAACAAGAGATATGTTGAATCTTGTGCATTTCCAATATTATTTTACCCTGACTAAGGATCAAATGGAAAAGTTTTTCCTTATAATGCAGACATGTCCGGCAGAAATATTATACTCCTTGCAAGCCAAGGAGGGAAACATTCTCAATCTTTGGGTCTTTTTAGTAGTAGTCAAATTTATCTTACTTATTCAGTGGAAAAGGGGAGAGATTTCATCATCATCTTTTTTTCATAGTTTATAGAATGAGCAATAGGATTATCTGGATGGGAAAGTGAGAAGAAATGGTCTTAATCTGTTAAGCAAGGCCTTTTCTAACTTTTATATAATCAAAAGTTATTGGGCACTGCAGATATGGACTTTGAGGTCCATGTATATCTGGCATATCTGACAGGTGGTCATCTCATCTTCCTGACTTGAGTTCCTCTGAATGTTCCTGCTAGATTTTATCTATTGTATCTATGTACATATGTATATATGCATATAAACCTTATACTCTCATATACTGTTATAAACATTATCTGAAGCAATTACATGGCATAAAATCTTCACAAAATCTTTATAGTTGATTATATATATTTATTTGAAAAACTACCTAAATAATGATAAATGGCATATTGTACTGCAGGGTATTCTTGGCTCAGGATTTGCTTTAAAAGTGCAGGAACAGCATCGTCAGAAACACTTTGAGAAAAGAAGGAACCCAGCTGCCAGTCTAATTCAGGTAAATAAGAAATCAGTAAAAATATAATAGCAGGTTATTTAAAGTACACATTGGAGCAGATTTTATTATTTCAATTTGGATAGTTTTGTGGAAATAATGTTTAACAGATTGGTTAGTTTCATAACATAAGTTTGTTCAGTGATTTCTGTATGTTAATGACATAATTATTTAGATAGTATTTATATGAATGGTTTTTGAGTTCTATCCATGCTGAAGGAACCAAGTCAAGCATGTCAACTGCATGCCTGCAGTTAGTGAATTCCTTGGCAAAATAGAATTGATCCCTAAACAGCCCAACTGATAGCACAGGACTCTTTCCTGTATTAAGCTACTTTTCATCTACTGCAGGGTTTAGAGTACTCCAATGAGTTATATACTTGGTGAAAATAAAATGTATCCTGCCCAGAGAATTGCTTTCACTATTACTCAGTTCTAAAGCTGGACATGTAGATGCTAGCAGTTCCAAAATGTCTGAAATTGTCTGAGGTGGTTTCAGCTCCAATACTGACAGTTCAGAAACTGAGAAAGGTTTTTATTTTTTTTTTAAGCAAAAGTGGTATATTTGATGAACAGCTTCTTTGATTGGGTTTTTTCCTTAACTTACAGTCCCAGTTAAAATTGAGAACATCCTCTAAAGAATGATTTTGCACCAACCTTCACTCTACTTGGTGCACTGAAAAAAAAAGGGGGGAAATAATCTTACAGTGGCCTAGTTTATTTTCTTTGGATCCCAAGTGGTTTATGTGTGCCATTTATGCTGTTTTGTTTTTGTTTAAAATCTGAAATAATAAATCCAAATAAAGAAGCTGAGCATGATTCTATGAATATGCTAGAATTCCATGATAAGTTCAGGGTAGACGCCAGGCCATCTTTGAAGCGCATTTTTTAAGTTAATAAACGTTTTCCATTATTCCTGTACAACTATTATTAAATACTAAATATTTGAGTTTTAATATTTATTAGAATAATAAACATAAAGCCACTTCTTTTATATCTATTGTACTGTTGAATGAATGTCTGGGATATTTTCTAACATATATTCTAATGTACTTTTTCCAAGTTTGGTTGCCAGAGGAAACAGAATAGATTTTTTATGTAGCTCATCTTATTATTGTATGACAGTTCAACCAAAATATTAGTTAGACAGCATACTAAATAGATTAAGATCAGCTAGCTGATTGATTTCAGAAAGTGACTCTCAATGGGCAAAATCATTGCAAAAAGAAGACATTTGTGGTGGGTTCACATGATAAAGGCTGTTCAGCATTTACATGTTCATTTTCATGTTCAGCATTTTAAGTAACCTAGAAATTAATATAAAATTGCTGATGGAGATATTTGCCAATGGCGCAAGACCTGGCAGAATAGGAGAGGTGAGGGCAGGCACACAGGAATGAACCCAAGGATGATCTGGGTGACTATACAGGGTGTAATGATTCTTACCGAAATCTTTAATACACCAAAATATAAACCTTGATTTAGAAACAATGAAATCGGTGTATTACAAGAGATGTCTGTCCTAGTATTAGTGTCTGAAAAGGATTTGATGAAGGATGAGAAACACAGAGAGGAAAGAGTACGAAAGAAGGGTCAAGAGCTTCATAAAAGTTACCAGTATGTTACTCCAGCTGGTTTATTACAGTCCTTAGATACAAAACCAGAAAGATAACAAGGAGAAGGCAGCTGATATTACCACTGTGTATGGTGATGCCGGTACTAACATGCTACATATGTATATGCATCTAAAGTCTGTAAATGAGACTGGAAAACTGGAGGAAGTAAAGAAAACACTGGGGAAAAACAAATAGTCCAGGACTGGAAAAAATTTCATGTTCGTAAATGCAGGATGTGTGTGATCATCATCTACTGTAACTGTGCCCAGACCTTTTTTAGTTGTCTTTTGTGGATATTGATAGTAAACTACCATAGAAATGAGCGTGCTATAGCTTATCAGGATAACATCTATTTTCTAATCAGCTACTCTGTAGAATTAATCTGTGCTAACTTCTCTGTTGCCATAGCTATACAGTCTGCTAAAGCCTTTACCTGACTTTAAAATAGCTAAGGTGTCACTATAGAAAGCTGAAATGTTTCATATTGACATACTTTTCTCAATTTCTTTAGCTTGTAAGAAATATTCAGTGTGAATATTATTTGAACATAAAAGTCCAGAGAGGAAGTACTGGAACCTATAGGACAGAAACATAAGAACTATCTCTGGCTATAAGCCAAACCCAAATAACTGCAAATTTAAAATAATGAGGAGATCTTTGACAATGAGAATGTCGATCAATTTACAAAGTGACAGGTTCTCCACTTGTAGATGAAGACTAGATGTATTTGTGGGAGATGTGCCACAGAAAAACACTGGGATGATATTTAATAGATGACAATATGCAGGAAGTGCAGATACTCAGTTAGTACAAATTAATATAGCTATGCTAACATCAGGGAACTTGTTCCAGTTTCCAGGACCAAGGATCTGTCTTACCATCTACATGCAGTTATAAATCTAAACCATGAATGCATTTTCAATGCTTTGCTTTGGTCACCGTCCTTTGATATCATTTATTGTGTATTCTTAAATATTTAGCACTGTTCCAAACCACAGAGAACACTTCTCTTTTCTTCTAAATGCTTTTCGTCTGATATTCATTGTAATTTACTAAATGTATTATGGCACTTTCTTTACCTCAGACTGCAAGTTTGGGTGGGTGTCCCTGTGGACTTGTCACAGATAAATCACTGCAATGCTTTTTTGAGCACCTCTTTGTGCTGAGTATCTCCTGGTTCTTTCACAAAACCAGGAACTCTTCTTTCACCATGTAATATGTACTGTGATTCACAAAAGTTTTGGTAGGTTTTTACTGGTATTTCCCTAGTACACCTAATAGAGCACATCCCAGTCTGAGAAAAATGCCCTCTGTACATAACCAGTGAGGTGGCATTGTCACTTCATGTTCTTGGTTCCTTTGTGCTTTTCTATTGTTTCCCCACACCAGGCTTCTTGGCGGTTTTATTCTACTGACACCAGCCGAACAAACCTGACAGCCACCTGGCGATATTATGAAAGTATTCTTCCTCCCCTCAGGCATGTATCAGTGCTATGAATGATAAAAGAAAGCCATGACTTGTATTGGTTACTAATCTGCTTTTCATTTTTTTGTTTCATTCCCTGCTCCCTCTTGCCTTGTTTTTTCTTTTTTTACCATATATCCTGCACGTAGTGTGTATGGCGTAGTTATGCGGCTGATGAGAAATCGGTTTCCATTGCTACCTGGAAGCCTCATTTGAAGGCCTTGCATACCTGCAGCCCTACAAAGTAGGTACAAATATGGCAGCTGGTGCTGTCCTCAATGTCTGTTCAAGCTTATAGATAATTACTATTTGTCTGTTTCATCTTGTTTTGTCTTCTTAAGCCTTCTCATTAGAAATCTCAACTAACAAATCAGATCAGTATTGTCTAGGAGCCTAACACAGTAAGACATACAAATCATTGCCATTTGTTGAAGAAATATTCCTGAGCACAGGCATTATAAACATTTTCCCCCAAACCCCAAACTCATATATCAAGGTTAAGGTTTCACCCAGTTCCAAATTATCTCTAAGGAGGAAAATAAAAGTTTAATGCAGAGCTAGTTCCTTGATTTAATGCTATTTTTCTGCCTGTGCCTCTGTGTAAGGCTATAGCTGCAGACCTACCTTGCCAAGGGAAGAAAGCTTTGTGGTATTCTGCAGGTGAATGCACTGGGAAATTTGATCCTCTTCATCATAACTTCTGATATATTCAGTATTTCCTTAGGGTGAATTATATTCTCAGTTACCCACACAGGCAGTGGAAGATGACTAAAAAGACCTGATGTCGCAGTTTGGCAGACAGGAAATATTTGATGTCCTAGTTTGGGTGAGAATTCACAGAGCACTGGCAGCTCAAGACTCTTCAATAATTCAGTAAAAGATTTACCAGAAGGTAGTAAGCCGGCTGATTCAGTAGGGGGCACAAATCAGGAAGTAAAAGATAGTTGATAAAGATCAAAAAGGGGAGTGCTAAGAGCCTTATGGAAAAGCTCTGATAAGCATCCTAACTGTTGTTATTGCAGACAGTGCAAGAGAATTAGTGGTTTCTCTCAAAGCTGGGTGATGAACATCCACATGACAGTAAAAAGGTAATCGTGTGCCAAAAAGCTCAGCCAAAAAGAGGTTTGGCTGGGTACCCAAAGCTGATCTTTGAATTTCAAAGAGTTGACAAGAACAGAGCCGTAAGTAATCCATTACCATAGCTGTAATCCAAAAATGCTCCAAACTAAAAGGAGCTTTTAGATTAAAAATTACATGGAATATTGATTTTTGACAAATATACAAACAAATTGAAGGCAACATTGGTATAAATTGATGGATATAAAATCACATAAATAATTAACCTGTGTCCTGCCTAAATACTCTAAAATATGACTGTCCCTCAAAAGTGCATCTGCTTGTTATTTTAAATAAGTGTATTGCTGTGCTATCCTAAAATTAAACCTTTTTATTTACCAGAGATAACTTTCTCTAATAAGAGCCTACAGCTTTCTGTTAAATGTGTGTCAGCAATGCATTTTGCCTAAGTGCTTTGCCAACTCAGTCTGCAGTGGTATGTACTAAGCATGTTATATGCATGTGTTAAAACAACTGAAAAGTTTCTTTTTCAGAAGCATTGTAGTTAGGAGTCTTGCCTGAATGTTTTTGTGGTTGCAATGTAATGTGTGTGTTGTACACTAACATATCCATTTATGTTTACCGTATATCTAACATCATCTTTAACTAAATAATGTGATTACTATCTGCATAACAAGTATGTTTTTCCCTCCTACACCCTGACCTGAAGAAAAGAACAAGGGGAAGCTTCTAGCAGGTTTGTAGCTTCTTTTATTTCTTTTACCTGTGCAATCGTTGCTTCTTAATGGCTTTTAGATGTCTCCTCAGGTTCTGTACAGTAGGTTCAATGAACTGTAACTGTTAACAGATTAGAATCACAAAACCGTATTTTTTAAATTCATACCAGTAGACTAATGCTGCTGAAATTTGCTTCTTTGTCACAGTTTTTGTATGGAAAAAATAGGCTAATATTTATGTTTCTATACATATTTTAACTGTAAGGGGGAGCTCAGTTCAAACAGTGGCAGTGTAGTGAGTGGAGTAACCTCCCTAGACCCAGCTCCTGGGCAACGACATAGCCTCGGCTTTGGCGTAAAATCAAAGCTTGTGATTTTCAGAAATCTGTAACTTCTAGTGCAATTTAGAGGCCTTTGGCTTCGTGGACAAGCCCACCAGCCCTCTGTGCAGGGGCAGGACCTCCCAGTGAAGCTGGTTTCATATCAGCTTAGCAAGGGTCTGTTCTGCCCTGAAGAAGCATCCTGCCATTCTCTCTTTAAGAGTGTTTTGGGACGCAGTGGATAGGGGAACAGCACCACTGCAGGAGCTCACCTCCTCTCAGATGCAGAGTTTGCACTCTCACATGGCCCTGATTGGGTGGGGGAGACAGCCTGGTATTTCTCCTTAAATAAGCCCTAGCACCCCTGGCCAGGAGGGTAGGAGGGGCTTCTACCAGCCTGGGTGCTGAATGAGGACCAGTTGCCTATAGCACACAGAGAAGGGCTGCAGCAGGGCTGTCCTCACTGGTAAGCCCTGGTGATGCATGTCCTAAGGCAGTAAAAGGAAATGGCTGCTCTTTGCTGTACTTGTAGCCCAAATGCTTAGGGACTGGAAAGGACTCGGTGGCTACAGGAGAAATTACACTACCCCTGAAACTCATTAGCAATGGGAGTCAGCAGGCATTCGACAGCCGGCACTGCAGTATCAGCAAGATCAGAGAACAGTGAGTTTACCTCAATGAAAAGCCAAGAAAAAAAATGGCAGTGACACAGCAACCCCCAAAATACATCTGCCCCTGAGTTGTACTGTAGTTCACAAACTCCTCTGGGTTATTCACTCAAGGGTTGAAAGTCTTCACATCAATTACCCAGGATCTGTTCCACTTTCCAGATTGCTCCTCTAGCACCTGACTCCATCCTTTTCCCTGATGTGCGCATAACTATTGTTAATGTCACAGTAACTCAAGGGGGCTGGAGTTGCTCTGATGTCCTTCATGAGCACTCCACCTGCTCTGTCAGTTCTGTGACTTTTCATATACATTACCTCCATAGGCTTGCTAGCAACGTATTGATCTCCTTAAATTATTACAGCCTGATCCAAACTACTTGCACTCACCAGAAGTATTTCCTACTCTTTCAACAGCTACATTTAAAATTGACTTAGGCTATTTTAAAGGTGAAACTGAAGTTGGCAGTAAATGAGAACACTTCCAAAACAGTGATTTGTGCAGAAGGGAAAGGTTATTCCCAGTTGCACCTGCGAGCACTTAAAGAGACAAATTTGCTCATAATAAGTAGATGCTATATGTAAGAAAACCCCAAATCCAAACCAAACCAGCTGTCAGAACTATATTACATGCTCCATATTAGTGGTAACTGTTTTGGCTTTGAAAGTAGTCAATGATTTAGTCAGATTTTTTTTTCACTGTATTTCCACTGAATGGAAGATGTGTGTCATTCAGAAACTCTAAACCAATCTGTGCACTGTTGCAAATTAGTGTAGGTATAAGATTGAACTAGTTAACTCCTGAGATCCTGGTCTACAATAAAAACCCTACAGACCACTCAGCGCCTTTTAAAACAGTGGCTGTTTATTGTCTGATATATTGCTATATGTTTGTGTCATTGAATATACATGTGGTGTATGTGGTCTTTTGTGGTAAAAATGTATACGTGAACTGCTGCAGCGTACTTTGAGACAACTGTCCTCGACTATTTTAACTTCTTTCTTACTGCTATGCTGATCGACTTGCATGGGATGCTATGTGAACTAAGTAAGCTGCTTCTTGTTTCACTCTTTAAATGAAGATGTGTTTGCACAAGTAGTGCATTGATTTGCTTTCTGAATATGCTCTTTGATCTGTACTCCATTCTAACAACAGTAGAGAAAAACTTTTATTTACTTTAGATAAAAGTTACTTATTTTCTTTTCTACCAAAATGACTTTTACGCTTACAGAAATTAATTCTTGCATTTTGCCACATATAGACCTGCAGTCTTTCATTAGGTAACTAAATGTTGCTGTGCATTTGAGTTGAGAGAGCTGTGCTTAGGAGTCTGTGGCTTCATATCGATTTTAAGAAAAATATGTATGCTGTATTACTCAAAAGATTATACTCACATATCCTAATTAATCATTTATCAAAAGTAATGGTAGATAACTTCTCTGGTGTATCCACACTGTAAGTAAGATACTTCTATAAATCAGTTCTAGAGATCTGCAAGTTATTTTAAAAAACCTATATGTTAAATTCTCCATATCTACAAATGCACATACTGCATGCAAATAATGTTATTTCTGTTTAAATATACAATGTGGCTGAAATTCTTCCTGTGCAGGAAACTTGATCAAGACTGATGAATCTTACAGCATCCTGAGAGCATAAGCAGTCTTAAGCTGTGTGTAGGACACGCATTGGGTGTCTGCGAAGGATGAACGTCACCCCTCTAGTGTTAACTATCAAACCTGAATATGTATTTCCTATTGAGACAGCTCTCTGGTTCAATAAGGAGTTTCACCAGTATCGGAGCTTCAGGGAAAAAACTCATCCCTGCTCTGAGAGAAAGAAGTAAATTGTACTCTGGAATTCTCTCCACCTCCTTCCTATACTGTATCTGTTTCTAAAAGTATATTTAATGTAAACTCTCTGCATGCACCATATGAAAAAGAAAATGCCAGTGACGCAGAATCTAACTTGAGGTGGAAAGCCTAACCCCTTACCAGCAGTGGAATGCTTAGTAATATGGTCCTCTATCTCCCCTCACTCCTAGTAAGCTTTGTAGTAATAAAGAGAAGCTCTTCAGGATGTACACCCCTCGGAAACATAGGTATCCAGCATCCTGCCTATTCACATGATGTTTGAGAATGCCAACTAACATCAGGTGCATGATTCATTTACTTCCCCTCCTTAGTGCTTTGAAATTCCTTACTTCTCCAAAGGAGGTGTCTTTATTTATTTATTTTTACATGCTTGTAATTCCCTTGTTGCTTGTTGCCTGCAATGACATTAATAAAATGGCAATAATACCAGCTCTTTGAAACACATCTGGTCAGACGATTGCCGTGCACAGCACGCTGACATTTGCTGAAGCCTGGTTCCCCTTCTCTGCCTGAGACTTGAACTTTCGGAATGCGTTACCCTGCAGAGATCTAAAACTGGGATTGAATATTTGGGTACAGACATTTCCCCAGGTCCAAGAGGATTTTTATAACCATGGCAGTTGAGTTCTTCATCTAATAATTAGTGAAGAATTTTAAGCTATACAAGCTAGGCAATACCAAGTCAAAATATGCAACTGTTGTTGAGAAGAATCCCCTTGGACGCAGCCTGTGGAAGCTCTCCCTGCATCCTGTGCTGGAAGGTAGAGGAATGCATGTGAAATCAACCATCTGCTTCAGCTGAATTCTGTGGAAATTGTGTCTTTTACCAAAAATGGTAATTCTTAGATGGATGGATCTTACGAGAAGAAATCCTTGCTTTATAACTCATGCTTATTGCAATTTTTTTCTTACTTTTTAAAAATAACTTAAAAGACAATAGAAGTACAATCTGATAATAGAAAATGGAGATTCAAAAAATTGTTTCTCTTCAACTGGAAACTGTTTTGAAAAAGGAAAAAGTACACAAGCCCCCAGAACTACTTTTTTGTTTGTTTGTTTGACGATCGAACTTCATGGTCTTGAAATTGACATTATGTCCTTGAAATTCTTGTTATTCCTCATTGAAGGTATGAGGTATAAGACTACATTTCTTGGGTTCGTGGTCCTATCATGAGCCTGGTGGAGAAGTCTTGAGTGTTTGAACTTCAAGTCTCACTGTACTATCCCTTGCATTTGCATTTATTCAAATTATCTTAATTTCAGTGAAGGCATCTGTAAGTTTGGTGAGAATCAACATCTGTATTTATTGGAAGCTAACTGCCAAAAATGGGCATGTACGTTTGCTTGCTGCTTGCCTTGGGTGATATTTTTTGATGGTTTTAGCTTCTGTCTCGACTCGAAATCCAAAGCATTCTCTCTTACCCTCAGACCCTCCAGTTACTTTTGATTCACTCCAATTTCTTCCCATTCCCATTTCAATTAACCAGCTCGCTACAAAAAGCTGGGAAACAAGTTGTAAACTGTGGGCAGCAGCAAGCAGTAGTGCTGCAGGTCTGAGGCTGAAGCAGAGCAGAAGATAAACTTGACCAGAAATGCAGGATGGTAGAAAGGGAAATAGGGGAGGGGAGGAAAAGAGATGCTCAGATAACCAAAAATTATAGTAAGATAGTCCATGGAAGACAGACAGAGCTGTGAGTACAGGAGAGAAAAGCAAAGCTTCGTAGGCATTTACCAATTGCAACAAGATCTTAGTAATTCCAGGCATTTGGTCCCCCGGAGAAGGGTTCGTTCCCTCTGCAGTGAAGCTACAGTGACCTCTAGTGTCCGTAAACACCTATTCCTTCATAAATCGCAGGTGGAAAAGTCAGAATTTAAAAAGGAAGAAGTTAAGAACTAGAAAGCCCTTTGCTATCCCAGTGAAGTGAATGGCTCATGCTTGTACTGACAGGAGGAATGAGTGGTAAGATCCAACAACTGATCTTCCATTTCCAGAAGGCAAACAAACAGAGAAAAGTCACTCGCTTTTTTCCCATCAAACCTTAGTACAAGAAATGATGGACAGACACATGTCTGAAGAAATGCAGAGACAGCTGGAGGCAGCAGTGGTTCTCTCAGGTCCTTGTCATTTAGGTCTGATTCAGAAACTTGTGTAATTTCATTTTCCTGATTCTTTCCCATGTTCTTTGCCTTTTGGACCAAAATTCAACTTAAAGCTTGGGAGTACTTACATTTCCAATGGCCATTATTGGGTTACATTAATTCAAGAGGTTTTCCTTGGATATTATATAAAAAGAGAGGATAAAAGAGGAGAGAGGAAAATAAAATGGGCTACATCCTGCAAGAGGTAAAGGATTTTTAGCACAGTGCTAATCCAACTGGCATTAAATCAGAGTAAAAGGTGCTAAAGGCTTCAGTGGCTACTGACTCAAGCGTAGAATGCCCAAAGATGCTTGAAAGGGCACAAAATTATCTCCATTCTGGTGTATCTCTAACACTAGTTATTCCTTCATGCTGTGTTATTTATCACATATAGAAGAGCCCCATGAAAATATTGGTCAACAACCTTCCTCTCCCAGGCATGAATTCTCCATTGCTGCAAGTCATACAATTCATGCCTGCACTGAGCAGGACCCAGTGACTTCTGGAACATTTCCCACCAGTCTCAAAATAGGAACAGGGATCCATGAAGCAAAGAACTGGTATGACCAGTGTCTGGAGAAACTCTCAAGATGCAAGATGGAGTTTCCAAACCATGCTTCCCTCAGGGGCTGCGTTTCTCGTCACAAAGCAGCATCCTCCACATGGACCCTTGGCATGCCACTACATTGTCATTGCTACAAAGCAGATTTTTTTTTATTTTCAAGTATGAGGTCTGCATTTTAAATTAATATTTTCATTCTCAGTGTTGCACTTTTGAAAAATGTCTGTAGTACAGATGAAGTGTCTACTGCTCCTTTCACCATTGCCTCATTGCTTTGATTTGGAGAACTAAAGATATTCAGGTTAAGTAGACATTGTGTACCATTCAGCTTTTATAACTGAAAACACCATGTGTACAAATCATTTAAAAGCAGCCATACTTTCATTAGTACAAATTAATTGACAGAACAACATGCGTGCTTTTTCCTTTGTGTTTTTTTTTTTATTTTCACTTTTATTTTGGAGTTAATGGGATTATAAAAAATATGGTCTATACTGATCAGTTTTATGGCTGTTTTACCAATTTTCCCTTCATTTTAATTAGTGCATCAGGGAGAGAGCTGTCCAGAAACATTTTTACTCAAAGATATGTAAACCAAAAAAAAAATCTGATTTCATGCTTCAATATTAAATACATTTTGAGCTGTAAGAGGAGTTAAAAAAAAAAAAAAAAGCACAAGGGACACATGCCTAGGAATAATATCCATAATAAAAAGTCCATTTTGATTCTGTTGCTCATAGTATTCTGTTGCTGTATAGTATGACAATGCAATAATGTGGTTAATAAATATTTTACAGCTTATATTTTCATTAAGTTGTACAATGCAAAAGATTCCTGAGCTGAAATGTAATTCAGTCCTGAAATCTAGTTTGTATTGAAAATTAAATTTTAGAAGTCACTTTTCTTTCAAATAGTAGGATCTGTGGGTCTTTTGTATTGCATATGCAACAGGACACAGTACTGCGTGTCTGGATAACAATTTGCAATGGAAACAGATGACATTTCCAGTACCATGATGTGTTTATTTCAACAACTGCTTACTTTGGGCAAGGGAATAAGGGGATTATATTCAGAAATTATAGTAAAGGTATTCTTTCAAGTGATTCAACATGCCATATAGAAATACATTTATCTAATAATCTTTCTATTGATGTGCTCACATTTGGCATTCTTGAAAATTATCTCATTATAAGCTTCCCAGCATGTGCTTTGCCTGCTACAAACTGCATCCTTTCTGCTCTCAGTGATGTGTGTACTCCGAATGAAATGCTATGCTATGCTGTGCTGTGCATGGACAAAGATACCTGATTATCACAACATTTCACAACTACAGAATTTTATAACTACTTTCCATTTCATATAATTCTGTATTAACACTGTATTTTCAGAGCGTTAGTAGTAGGCTAGATAGCTAAGAACCACAGTCCACATCAGCATTGGTTGATTAGCTGCAGAGTTCATTTCTGTTGAAAACATCTTATGGACATGCTGAAGTTAAATGCAAAGGCTTTGGGAGAACTAGAAAGTGTCTTCATTTCAAATACAATTGTAATTTGGAGATAGACAGCCTTTGCTATATGTGTTTTAAAAGCACCCCAAAGCCTGTGCCAGAGCAGTAGTACGGCAAGACCCAGCAACCTGCTCTAGAGGAAGGTGTGCCCCCCCCCGCATGGCAGGGGCATTAGAACTGAATGATCTTTAAGGTCCCTTCCAATCCAAACCATTCTATGATTCTATGAACACCATATCATGAGCAGCTACTGTATTGCTCCCATCATCTCTCCTGTTGCAAGAACAGGACTACTAATCAAGATGACCATTCCCTTGTACAGGTGATTGAACTTAACCTTGTAGCTAAAACAATATTTCCAAATTTTATCAGACTTCCTTTCTGTTTCCCCTTTAAGCCTTCTGCTACAGGAAGAGACAAACAAAGGCAAATATGTTAAATGTTGAAAAAGAACAAACAGATAGTCATGGCGATCACAGGATGTTCATTAGATATGTTTGAACATGAACAAAGGTAATCTAAGCACTAGGAAGTAGATAATCTACATATCCACAGGAGGGAAAAAAACAGCTTAGAATTGGCCAGCTGTAAAACCACAAGTCCACCACTGAGCCAGGCCAGCAGTCACAGTCATGAGTTTGTCTGGGCTCCTGTACCTGTCCTAAAGTGCCTGTCCAATATCACCTGCAGGCAGTCTGCTCACACCTTAATTCCCTGCAATGACTTTAGTGAGCGCATATTGTATCATTACACTTCCATTAATCAGTCATCACACTGTTTCTTGGCTGTTTTGTTAATTTGGTTTTGTCTTGTCCAAGTGCCGTAACTAGGAATTCTGGATATGGGAGATGACTAACAAAGCACATGAAATGTTGGAAGTGCCATGTCTTGAAAGAGCATGAATATACTAACAGCATTTTTGCCTGCTTAAAAAAAAAAAAAACAAAACACAACTAAACAATACTACATGGCATGCAGTAATAGAATACATTTTGTTCTTATTTATTTGAAGAGATGGCCAGAAATGCACTGAGCCTGCCTAAGATGGAAATAAGCCTATTTAAAATTTAAGGAATAGAAATAAAAGATCTTGGGTGAAACTTGTTAATTTTAATTTCATTTATAAGGTTATTCTGCGCTGTAAGATAGACTGCCATTGAAAATGCTTCTATCAAAAAACAATTAGATCAAATCAGTTTTGTTCCCAAATGAAATAGATTCAATCACAAGTGTGTAAGAAACAGATTTGCACTATTAAGAATTTTTAGAAATTATTTTTGATTATCATGCAATAGAAAAAAGAAATGGAGTGAAGGAACCATGAAATAAAATGCATTTCTCTCCTTCACAGTCAAAAGCTAAGTTTTAAGGAGCGGGTCCGGATGGCCAGCCCACGAGGTCAGAGTATAAAGAACAGGCAGTCTTCAGTTGGAGATCGCCGGTCACCAAGTGCTGACATTGCCACTGAGGGCAGCCCAACCAAAGTCCAGAAGAGCTGGAGCTTCAATGATCGAACACGCTTCAGGCCCTCACTGCGGCTGAAGAGCTCACAGCCCAAACCCGTGGTTGACGGTAGGAGTTTTTCACGCCCCATTTGCCGTTGCGCACTGCTCCCAGCCTGCTGACGCTCTTGCACACCTGCACTGTGAACATGACACATTTCTGTAAAGCAGAAGGAATTTCTGTCTGGGGTCAGAGACACATAGCCTTCTTCAAAGACCACGCCAATGGGATTATTCACTCTTGTGTCAGTGGTGCATAGGGAGCAACGGGTGGAAAAGAGGGTCACTACTGAAAATTGCAGGTGGACTAAAAGCATCCCATGGATTTGGGTGCAGCAGCTCTGCACCTCTCGCATCGCTGGGCGCAGCCGCTCTCCAAAGCTGCTGCCTCTGCACCAGGGCCAGCACTGCAATGGCTGTGCCTGTGCCAGCAGAGAGCACCCCTTTTACAGCAGTGCCTCCCTCAGGCAGGGGAGCTTGCTGAGGAGCTGGAAAGTGCCCTTTTACCTACACCATGGTTACAGTTGTCAGCCACCAAGAGACATACAACTGGGTGCTTTAAGTTTTATGGGGATGTATCCGGTTTGGTAAGGCAGGTGTCTTCAGCAAGTACAACAAGCATTATTGCATTTATGTATTGCTTTCTAAAGGGTATTTTAAATGTAGGAAGGACTCCTACCTGTGAAGAAGTGGATCTCTGTGAAAATGGCTTGCTGAGAGTGTAGCAGGCAAGAACATAGTCTTTCCTGCCCACTGCCTCCCATGCTGCCCCTCTCTGCTCTTCTCTAGCTAAGGTTCGTTCTCTGATTAAACTAGCCAGTGCTCAGGCAAACATCCTGTGACAGGCAGGAGTCACGCATTCCAGGTGAGCCTGACCCCTGTAAGGGACAGGTCCTGCACTGAAAGGTGCACTCACACATCTCTGGAGGTACTGCTGCCCCAGTGACTTTGGTTTCTCCGTTCACATTTTTCCCAACTTACAAGTGATTTGTTCTTTCTTGTGAGGCCCCCAGGTAGAAAATAAGGGAAACAAACTGATCAGTTATAACAGGAGGCAGTGACCCTGACTGTTTGGGAAAGGTACAACTTAAATAATTTGATCCAAGTAAAGAGATGTAACTTTAAACAGTTTCTACTATGGCAGTCATCCGTGATACATCCAACAACTGTGGTAAAACTAATTAGGCAGAAGTGCAATTTTGGTATCTGCTTCCTTTTAAAGAACACATATTGTTACAGACCTGTACTTTGCAAAATACCCATTGAACTGAAATGCCCCATCCTTCAGCTGAGGACATCCTACGCCACACATCTCTTCAGGAAAAGCCTGGGTAAATAAACATTTCCTGGAGGACAAACAAGACAAACCAACAGTGTTTGCTAAGGTCGTTCAGGCTAGCCCTCCCCTGCAGAGACCTGTCAGATGCACAAATCCTGACATTGGCTGGGTTACAGTGAGCTACTGGGGTGTACCTGCCCCTAGGCTGCTGTCCAGATTGCTCACCACTCCTCACTCCATTCTGTGGCACAGGCCCTGGCTCATGTCCCACAGCAGCTGCAGCACAGGGGCTGTGTGATGCTGGCCTGGGTCTCAAACTGACGTGGAGTAGGGACACGGCCACTTGCTCCACAGGGGGAAGTGAGAAATGGTCTAGGTATCAGAGTGGGGTCAAAACACCCTGTCTAAACTTAGGCTTCCTATGTAATCACTTACATAGCACAAGTATCTCCGCAAAACCACGTCAGAAGTGATTTCATAGGTTAAGCCCCTGTAACTCACAGTGTGCCTGGAAGTGACCCAAGAAGAGAGTAATTTGTTGAACACACTCCCTGGATATCAGCAGCTCACTTCTGCTCCAGCCCTGCAGCCCACACCTCACTCAAGCATCTGTTTAGTTTTTCATCAGCCCATTTCTCACAGAAACATTTTCTCAGCTTGTCCTCTGTTTTGGCCTGCACATACTGTCATTAATAGCAGTGATCTGCACGAGATCATGTTCCCTTTTATTGTCTCCCTTTCATGGAAAAGAGGGCATAAATGGCACCTTGGGTATATCTGTAGATCAAAGATAATAACAACAACAGAGCCATCATTGCTGTGTGCAAACCCTGAAAAATCTTCCCGCTCCTCAGGGCAAGCACAGCCTGTTTCCTGGTCAGCAGTTTCCAGCTACTCTTCCACCCTTATGAACTGGGGCCAACAGATACGACCAATTTCTCATCCGTGGCAGAAGGAACAGCTTCCATTGTCTCTAGCTTTTAGGCAAATGCCAAGTTTCCACTCTGGGACCTGATCCAGATACTTCTAGGAGTGGTATCATCGGAGAGATGTCCACTGTGCTCACTGCTGAGAGGCAGCTCCCTGCTGCCTTACCCATCTGCTGCTGGAAAAGTTAGGCACTACCATCCTTGATTTCTTTTGCGTGTGTGTGTGTTACCAATTTCATAGTTTGATATTCCTTCTGCATTTGACAGCTTAATGAAAAGGATCTGGAGATGATGTGTTTAGTTTAGAACATCTTGCACTTTTTAGTGGATGGAAATACAGTATTTGCAGCATTTTATTAATATCTCTGTTTTCAGGTCCTCCAGTTTCCTCCTTGAGGAATTCTCTGGCCAAAACATTAATTATTTTGGTGGGCTGATCTTCAAGCCAAACTAGAAACCACCCCTTTCTGGATCACAGTATCACAGTATGCTAGAGATTGGAAGGGACCTCAAAAGATCATCTAGTCCAATCCCCCTGCCGGAGCAGGAACACCTAGATAATGTTACACAGGAATGCGTCCAGGCGAGTTTTGAATGTCTCCAGGGAAGGAGACTCCACAACCTCCCTGGGCAGCCTGTTCCAGTGTTCCGTCACCCTCACTGAGAAAAAGTTTCTTCTCAAGTTTAAGTGGAACCTCATGTGTTCCAGTTTGTACCCATTACCCCTTGTCCTGTCATTGTTTGCCACTGAGTAGAGCCTGGCTCCATCCTCGTGACACTCCCCCTTTATATATTTATATACACTAATAAGGTCACTCCTCAGTCTCCTCTTCTCCAAACTATAGAGACCCAGCTCCCTCAGTCTTTCCTCATAAGGGAGATGCTCCACTCCCTTAATCATCTTAGTTGCCCTGCGCTGGACTCTCTCCAGCAGGTCCCTGTCCTTCTTGAACTGAGGGGCCCAGAACTGGACACAATGAAAGTGTCCAGAAGTGTCTGGACAAAAAAACATACCCTTGAACAATCGGTCCTTCTGGCAATTCTTATGTCTCTGTAGCATGTTTGTGGGGAAAAGAGATTGCACTTGAAATAGCCGTTTTGGATAGTGGCGATGTAGTCCTGGGTACCCAGTCCAGTGTCAAGACTTTATATCAGTGATCTCATGAAAAAAATATTGAACTCTCACTCTGAACTTCTCCTTCCAAAAGAGAAGATGCTCAGATACTTGCTTGATTTTTATTTCACTGTATGGGATTTGGGGTTGTAAATGATCTTCTTTACCACAGGCAGAGAAGGAACTCTGCTGTGAGTTTCTCCTCCGTGAGGTGCACCGGACTGCATGCAAAAATAAAGCAAAGAAGCAAACATAGAAGTAGAGGGCTCAGAAAGGAAGAGAAACTGTTAGCGCCCAAGGATGATCTAAGGCACACGGTCAACACAGCAAGTTTGTGGGGCTGACTGAGTTCTGGTAAAGGACATGGTTGGAATCTGGGCCAAAACCATCAGAAAAAGACTGCTGGGAAAACTAAACATTAGCAATTAGAAACTGGCCTGTAAAGGGAGATTTCTAGTCCAGACAAAAGCTTATGGAGGCAGCTTAGAGGCAAACATGATTGAAAATGTAGTAGCCTTCCTCTTAGGCTACCCAGTAACAAAAGCTTACTAACACTACCCTGCTGCATATTAAAACCCTAAAAGGAGAGCTTCTTGGCTGCTAGCAAAACACTTAAGCTGGCCACAGGTATCTCCCAGAAGGATTTTGGCACAGCAGCCTTAGAACAATATGACCAAAACTGTTCCACAAATGGCTTTATTTATGGGTAGCAACAGTCCTCTGAAACTGCCTATAAACCATTTATTGCTGTTGCCAAAGTGAGCCTGGCAACAGCAATAATTATTTAAGCTATATATGTGCACTTGTAAAATGGAATCCAAACCTGAGAGAGCTTTGATGGCTAGAGAGGTCTTTGGTGGTATGGCTGCAGATGCTCTCCAGAGCACTTAACAACAGTGCAGGGGAGTGAAATTGAGAACCAGGCTTATATAATTTGATTTTAAATATGTGTCCAATCTCTGGTGACATATGGCTCACAACTGCCAAAACTCTTGTTGAAGAAGGGACACTGCACAGATTACAAAGGTGCCAGGATGCTTTATTTCCAATCCTTGTTATCAGTCTAAAGGGGAATTATCAGGACCAAGCAGATCAAAGGGAAATCTTCACCAACCAAGAACAGTAAACAGTGAATCTTAAGAAAGCACACAAGGATACAAGAATTGTATAGGCTCATGCAAGAGCCTGCCCCAAAGGGGTGCCACATCACACAGGTGAAGACGCTGCCTGACTTCAGAGTGGCACGCAGCCACCCCCATACCTGTACACAAAGTCAGCCAGGAGCCACTTGTGTCCCCAAAGCCTCCTCATACAGTACAGCTTGTGTCCCTGCACCAAAACCAGGGAAACTGCAGCCAAACTACCCATGAGGAACTGTGTTCAGCATGTGAGAATATCCACTGGCAGGGGTCAAACCCATGCCAGAGTCTGTGCAAGCAATTAAATAGTATAGGTGATCTCATGCCATTGCACTGTGCCCATGCCTCACTGTATTTAGTGTAGATCCAGCCACAGAGACTCACCTCACAAAATCTCTCCTTTTCACACAATGACATTCCTGCCCTGGTATTTTTTTGCTTGCCTTTTCTGAGGAACAGAACCTTTTCTGCTTAAATCATGCTCCAGTCTTGCACCATGACAGCTGAAATCTTGAACTTATGTTGTGGATACAGTTCTCAGTGAGGGGCAGAAATGCCCTATTATACTTGTTTTCTACCATCCCACGCTTCTAAGCCTCTTCATGAGTT